AAAAAACTTAAAAAAAATAAAGGTTAGTCCTTTGGTAGAAGCATAGAAATTTTTCTTCTTAGTCTGCTTACCCGTTTTACCTAACTTCCTACAAAATACATATGAAGCTTTTATAATTTCAAATTTTTTAAATTACTAAATGGCTCTGGCTGGATGGAGTGCAGGGGAATTAAGTGGAAACAGGTTGACTAGATGACCGGCAAGTCCAGTAGGAAGATGGTGGTTGTTTGGATTGCCATATAGTAGTGACAATAGAAATGACAATTCAGGCCAGGGTTAGGAAGCAGAGGCAAGAGGACTGGTCGCGGGTTGAGCCCAGGAGCAGTGAGGGTGAGGGAGTTACTTTAGAACGCGGAGACGGTGGTGCTGCTTCCTGAGCTACACGAAGCAGGGGCAAAGCAGAAGTAAGGACGGGGCTGGAAACCGGGAGGTTATCTGGGCCACGCTAGGCATGGAAGGTCCCTAGAGATATCCTAAAGGAGGTAAGAGGGAGGCACAGGACGTAAGAGAGACGAGAGAGCTTTATTTAGCCCTACAAGTCGATCCAGGAACTAGCGGGGAAACCTCACCCTGGTCATGCGGCTGGAGTTGGAGGCTCAGCACTTTCGTCTGAGCCTCAGCTTGGGTGCAGCTTCACGGCACACGTCAACCCTACTCGTGCTCTCGGGGATTTTATATTTATTTATCAGGGGTCTTGTTTGCACACAAACCGGGATGTCTTGGGAATATGTCTTTTTTTTTTTTTAGTTGTTTTTTTTTTTTTTTTTCATTTTGGAAAGGCATAGTGAGAGGGGGGGAGACACACACACACACACACACACACACACAGAAATCTTCCATCAGATGATTTACTCCCCAAATGGCTACACATCCAGGTCTTGCGGGTCCAGCCTGAAGCCAGGAGGCCAAAACTCCATCCGGGTCCGCCTCATAGGTGTCAGGGGCTCAGGCACTTGGGTAGTCATTAGCTGCCTTCCCAGGTGCATTAGCAAGAAGCTGGGTCAAAAGTGGAGAGTCAGGGCCGGCGCCGCGGCTCACTAGGCTAATCCTCCGCCTTGCGGCGCCGGCACACCGGGTTCTAGTCCTGGTCAGGGCACCGGATTCTGTCCCGGTTGCCCTCTTCCAGGCCAGCTCTCTGCTGTGGCCAGGGAGTGCAGTGGAGGATGGCCCAGGTGCTTGGGCCCTGCACCCCATGGGAGACCAGGAAAAGCACCTGGCTCCTGGCTCCTGCCATCAGATCAGCGCGGTGCACCGGCCGCAGCGCGCTGCCCGCGGCGGCCATTGGAGGGTGAAGGAACGGCAAAGGAAGACCTTTCTCTCTGTCTCTCTCTCTCACTGTCCACTCTGCCTGTCAAAAAAAAAAAAAAAAAAAAGTGGAGAGTCAGAACTCTGATAAGGAATGCTGGTGTCACAGAGGTAGCTTAACCCCCTGTGCTACAACGCCAGCCTTGGGAATATATCTTAAGACCATGTTTCAATTTTTCAACATATTGGAACCTCTGTGACTCCCAAAAGGAAAGCCAAGAAGTTACGATATTTACAAAGATGGCATCTCCAAAGACAAGATAGTGTTACAGCTAAGGATTTATTTTCGTTTATGATTTATTGTTTGTTTCATAGGGAGAGAGACAGAGGGAGAGGTAGAGGGAGAAAAAGAGACAGAGACAGAGAGATATCTTCTACCCAGTGGCTCACTCCCCAAAGAGCTGCAACAGCCAGGGCTAGGCCTTTAGCAAAACCTAGCGAAGGAAAATAATGGCTGCTGTAGGAGACCAGGGCAAGACAGGCCAGGCAGCAAGTGGGGAGACGGCAGCGGCCTCGGCCTGGAGCAAACAGGGCTCCAGTCCCCTGAGTAGGGGGTGGGGAGGGCAGGGGCTGATGATGTCCACAGCCGGAACATTGAAATTGAGTGAAAATCCCCAAAGACGTCCTTCCTAGTGCACAGCCTGGCTAATCCGCCGGCCAGCGTCCTGCTGTGCTGGTTGACATTGTTTGCACAAACTGTCAGGCCCCTGCAGGGCCGCTGACATCTGTCTTTGTCAGGACAGCCAGCGGAATGGTGACTCCTCAGATAAGGCTCAGGATTTCTCATTTCCTGCTGCTCCTCTGAGACCCCATAACAGTGTCAGGACCAGGCCCAAGGGTGTGTGCTAATCCACTCTCACCTTCCCCACCCCTGCCCAGTTCCTCTTATCAGCTCAGGCCATCACTGCCTTTCCCCCAGCCCTGGGCCTGGCCTGTGGCATTCCGCATGCCTCCTGGCAGAGGAATGGTTTCAGAAGCCAGTCTCATCAAGTCACCACCAGCCCTCCCATCCTCTAAGGGCTGAAACTTTCAAAAGTCCTTCATGACCTTAGGAAGAATTTTAAACTCCTTGGCTGACAAACTGGATTCTTCAAAATCAGGTTTGCCTCTGCCTGTTACCTCTCCCCACCTGTCCCCACAAGGAATCCAAACACTTGCAGCTCCCATCATGGAAATGTGCCCCCTATTGCTGTGGCCACCTACGTCCTTCTGATCACTTGCGGCTGCCATGGCACCACCTTAGAAAGAGTTCTCCTGCCCTAAGATTAGAACTTCCCCCCTCCCCAACATGATCCTCAATTCTCACCCCCACTTCAACAGTTTCCCACTCTTTCTCACTCACTGTTTATCTCTTAGTACCCTATTCCTCTTCCCCCACCTTAACCACAAGACTGTAGGTTCCTCATGGTTAGGGACTCTCTCGCCTGTCAAAGCTCAGTACTTAACACAATGACTGACATATACAAGAGTACTCAATAAATATTCATGAAATAAATGAATGAACAGATTGCTAAAGGTTAACCTTATTTGTAGTAACTATTGTCTTAATATAATAAATGTCATAAGCAATAAACGTAAGATTAAAATGAATAAAACCTGAGCCGGCGCCGTGGCTCAATAGGCTAATCCTCCACCTTGCGGCGCCGGCACACCGGGTTCTAGTCCCGGTTGGGGCGCCGGATTCTGTCCCGGTTGCCCCTCTTCCAGGCCAGCTCTCTGCTATGGCCAGGGAGTGCAGTGGAGGATGGCCCAAGTGCTTGGGCCCTGCACCCCATGGGAGACCAGGAAAAGCACCTGGCTCCTGGCTCCTGCCAGGATCAGCGCGGTGCGCCGGCTGCAGCGGCGGCCATTGGAGGGTGAACCAACGGCAAAGGAAGACCTTTCTCTCTCTGTCTCTCTCTCTCACTGTCCACTCTGCCTGTCAATCTCTCTCTCTCTCTCTCCTAAAAAAAAAAAAAAGGAATAAAACCTAAGATACATATCAAATACAATTTAAAGATTCCACTTAGGGGGTCGGCACTGTGGCATATAGCGGGTGAAGCTGCTGGTGAGGTGCCGGTATCCCATATGGCCACCAGTTCGAGCCCTGGCTGCTCCACTTCCGATCCGGCTCTCTGCTATGGACTTGGGTCCCTGCACCCACATGGGAGACCCAGTTCCAGCCATTATGGCCACTTTGGGAGTGAACCAGCAGATATAAGACTTCTCTCTCTCTGTAACTCTGTCTTTCAAATAAATAAAAATAAATCTTAAAAAAAAATCCCACTTAGGTTTGATAGGAAAATTGCCGAGGCTCCAAAAGAGGAATTGTTCATGGGAAAGTTAGGAATCCCACAGGGCTTGAACCCCATCCAGGCTAACCCAGTGCTGTCAGACAGATTCAACCGTGGGGCAAGCTACTGTTAAACCGTAAGAGTCTCTCTCCAAAGTCAGAGGGAATTCGGCAAGGACATGTAGGGTAAGGAGAAAGAGGAAGTAAGAAAGGATGAGGGCTATGGCCGGAGTGTGGAGGGCTCTTAATTCATCCCCAGGTGTTGGGAACAGGAGGCCCCGACACGTACAGTAGTGGAACCCGGAAGACGGCAGTCGGCGCCCATCTTAGAAGAGTGGTTGTGTCGGGAACGTGGAAGACGCATTCCAGCTGATCCTTAGATGGCACAAGGACCCGAAACCTGCCCTTGCCTCCAGGTCGGTGCATGCCTGCGGTGCCACCTCAGGGGCTCCCTTGAGTTCTCTGTGCCTCAATTTCATTCACAAAATGGAAATATCTTCCAGCCCTTGCGCTAAGGGTTGATGATGAAAACAGTGCCTGGCACGGAGTCCGGCCTCACCAGCGGCTCCGTTCTGGTCTCCACCAGAACGTTAAGGGAGACCCTGGAGGCGCAGGTTGAGAGTTGCACTTCCGGGCCACGCGTGTCACAAATCCACCGGCCTCAGGAAAGACGCGCAGCGGTGGTGACCATCGGGGTCTGTCCCGGAGAGAGCTGTGGGCTGGGGCTCTGAGGGCAGGGCCGCGGCGTCCGGCTCCGGGGGCCCAGGGAGGGGCTTGGGGCTGCGGTCCAGGGCCCCAGCGGACCTGGTGCTGCGTCCGGAGCCCGCCCGTGCGTGGAGCGTGAGCCAAGTGCAGCCACCGCGACGGGGCGGGCGACCAGGGCTTGACCAGCGGTGACAAAGACAGCAGGAAATGCAAAGACCCCATCCCAGCCCTGAAGACCTGGACGCGGCAAGGGAAATAATGACGTAGAACCAGACCCTTCCATTAGCACATTCTTCGTACTGCAGACGACACGGTTGACTAGGGGACATATCCCGGTTACCATAACTACATCCCATCTCTTCGCCTTCATTATCCATTTACAAACCAGTTTTAGGGGCACGCGATCACACAAACCTAACGACTGTTGAGTAAATGAAATGTCTCCTGCATATCGTGATGACAAATGTCCTGTCCTAGAACCTGTTTTTAACTCATAGTTAAAACCTGTAACTTTTTTCCGGATTAAAAAAAAAGAGAGAATTTTGAGATGGTCTCTAAGCCGGCCATTCGTTTTCAGACCTTCTTAAAACATATCCCACACTCCCTTTCTTCTCAGCCTTCCACCGCTCTTGAGATCTCGTTTCTTCGTCTGGAAATCTCGCGAGAGGACGAGATCTCATGAATTCTCCCAGAAGCCACTGCTCTTCCTCTTCCTGTAAGCGGCCTTAGGTGAGTGACTATGTCGTGGCTCTCTGAGCGCGCAATCCACTGGCCATCGCCGCCATCCTGGCTTTGGGGTCGCCGGTGCCGAGGCATCCGTGGGGAGAACTCCCAGGGCTACGATTGCACGCTGGAGGCGGTGTTCCCCTGTGTAAAGGAATGAGGCGGGGGCCCGACTTGGCGCTCCGGGACCAGCCGGCCTCTGCTGCCTGCAGAGGGCTATGGGTGGGAATGGGGGGTGGCAGGGCCCCTCGGCAGGCGGCAGCACGGGCGGCTTGTAGTCCGTGCCGACTTCCAGCTCCAGAGGTCCGGCGCCTTGGTGAGTGGTGGCCGAGAACGCGGCGAGAGAGTGGGGAAGTTAAAGTCGGGTCAGGGCTTAGCTCGTTTCGACAAAGCGCACGGGGTGGCTCCCAGCGTGGTTCATCCCCAGGAAGTCTGAGCTGGGTGGAAAGGGGGGGGAGGGAGGATGTGGACTGAGTTCTGCCGTGCCCCCGCGAGGGCCGGGTTGGTTGGAACACGCCGTACGTCGTGTATGCTGCTAGTGAGGGCCCTGTGAGCCAGCGGTGGGAGGCGCAGAGGAGAACAGAGAACGCTGCGATGATGCCATTTCTTAGGACACCTTTGGATAAATCATGAAACCAACCATTCTCTGAGCAGCGGTGGGGCGCATTTAGTAATTCGCTTACACTGTGTCACTGCTGTGGAGTGTGGATGATTGACGGGGTTACCACTGTGCCCTTGCAGGTGACCTGCGAAAATGGTTCGCTACTCACTGGACCCAGAAAACCCCACAAAATGTAAGTGCGAACGGGAGCTGCGTCTGTATTTTCTGACTGGTGTACACGCAAGATGCCCGAAATTAACCAGAACGTCTTATTTTCTAGCATGCAAATCAAGAGGCTCGAATCTTCGGGTTCACTTTAAGGTATGTGAATCAGAGCCTTCTGATCAGGCTTGTGCGTTGCACCGTTCTTACAAGGTGGCTGCAGTGATGCTTTTCTTAGGACACCTTTGGAGTTAGCCGTGAAATAACCAATCAGTTCTGAGCGGCCATCTTTGATTTGAGTATTGATCATCCGGGTATCCTGAGCAACGTTATTTAGGATTTGTGGGAAAGCAGTCTGCAGCTCGAGGTGGGACTTAGAATTACGTCCAAGATGACCGGGTCTGAACGTTTCATAGCAGGCAGGGGTTTAGGGCTGCTTCCCCCTCAGCCACAGGGTGGTTGACATTGGACTACCTCACCTCCCAAGAATGGAGAAGGGTGGTTTTTTAACTGCTGGTCCGTGTTGACATTTTGACAGTATGCAGATTGCTTGCTTAAGTATGATTTGACATAAATGACAAATATTTGTGTTCATACTTAGAACACTCGAGAAACTGCCCAGGCCATCAAGGGTATGCATATCCGAAAAGCCACCAAATACCTGAAAGACGTCACGTTAAAGAAGCAGTGTGTGCCATTCCGTCGGTACAATGGTGGAGTTGGTAGATGTGCCCAGGTAAGAATTCGTAGTTCCATAACTGCAGGGAAACCTGAGATGGAATGGCTAAGATGGGCCTTTATCGTGCTGTTTCTGGTTGCTGTGATGACAAATCTTAGGACACCTTTGGATTAACCGTGAAATAAAACACGTTCTGAGCAACCCTGATGTTGTAGCAAATACATTCATCTTGTTTGCAGTGTTAATTTAAAGAAGTCACTGATTATCTCTTTTCATTTTCTTTCAGGCCAAGCAGTGGGGTTGGACCCAGGGTCGTTGGCCCAAAAAAAGTGCCGAGTTTCTGCTGCACATGCTTAAAAATGCAGAGAGTAATGCTGAGCTGAAGGTATCTAGGCTGTTGGCATTCTTAAACTTGTAAATATGTGCTAATGACACTGATATCTTGATTGATTATCTTTCTCAATAACAGCCTTTTCATTTACTAAAATCTCTACCTCCTGCCTCTGGCACGCCATAAAGACTCAGTCTGCCCATGCCTAAGACTTAATTACTAGTATTTCCCTTATTGAGGTACTTGGAAAAGAAACACTTCTGCCTTCTGTCTTTTATATTGCTGGTATTTCACTAGGAGTTCATTGTGAAGTGGGTTTTTGGTAGTAAGTCAACAAAAGGATCGGGTTGATGGTGGTTAATGTGGTATGTTAGAGTTATAATGAAGGGAATGTTAAACTTCAGAAGTTAAAACAGTGATGGTGGACAAAACACCAGGGTTTATCCTTTACTGTTCTGCATTTGAAAGCCTAGATCAGAACTGGAGTTCTGTGTAAAGTCAGTGCTTAGAGGTGCCTCTGCTTTGTGCTCAGCTCCTGTTGAACCACCTTTAGGGAGGCTGCTTAAAGTTGTGGCCTGTAAAAGCGAAAGCAGACAACAGTGTAAATGATTCTAAAGTTTGAATGCATTGCCTTTGAAAAGTTAGCTCACTAAACCAAGGGCCTTAGGGCAAGGGCAAGTGCTGCAGTGTGAGATGTTAAAGGGAATTTTGTTCTTCCAGGGTTTGGATGTAGATTCTTTGGTCATTGAGCACATCCAGGTGAACAAGGCCCCCAAGATGCGCCGTCGGACCTACAGAGCCCACGGCCGGATCAACCCGTACATGAGCTCCCCGTGCCACATCGAGATGATCCTCACTGAGAAGGAACAGATAGTTCCTAAGCCAGAAGAGGAGGTGGCACAAAAGAAAAAGGTAAACCACTTAGTGGTTCTCTGTCCAGTTGAGGGCAGATTTGGGGTTGCTGTGATGGCTATCTTAGGACACCTTTGGAATAACCGTGAAAGGAAATTGTTCTGAGCAACCCGTTCAGCCAGTTTTATCATTCATTTTTAATATACTTGCTTGACTTGCTTGACTAACAGCAAGGTTGTGATTGGTAAAGTACATCAGACCCCCGTGATTTGCCTATGGAGGCACAGCCACTTCAGACAGGGCAGGCTAAGCCACGCCCCATACTCCACACCTAATGGATGGAGCATGCTGCTTATCAAGGAAATACCCGCCATCCTTTCTCCGCCTTAGTCCTTATCTGCCAGGCTTCCTGCCGCCTCTGTTAAGCATAAACTTTAAGTCCTCCAAGAATTTAACAGTCCTTTTGTTTTTTCTCTCCCCAGATATCCCAGAAGAAACTAAAGAAGCAAAAGCTTATGGCTCGGGAATAAACTCAGTATAAAATAAATACGAATTAAAAGAACGTTGGTTGTCTTTATTAGTAAACCTTTTATGTCTTCATAAACGCATCAAATGAGTTCTCTTAGGATCAGAACTCAAATCCGATTTTGGTGTGCCCCCTGCCACTCAGTGTTGATCCGTGCATATGCTGCTGTGAGGCTCTTGAATATGGGGGGTCTTGTCAGCAACTTTGGGATGTAGCACACTTTTCAGTTTACCCAAGTACAACGCAAGCCCTTGTGCCGTATTTAGTGCATGTGTTGCAAGTTTTCTTCACCCTGAGAAGGAAGGCTGCGGTTGTTAGTGGTCACTCTCCAATCACTTGCCTGTTTTCTGGTAATAGATTAACAGTGTTTGGTTAAGATGGGGACCTGACCCGTGTCTCAGGCCTTCATAGCATGCCGTGGGTTATGCCACAGTGTTCTAGCCGCCAGGCATCCCTGGGTCCCGTAGGGGTGCTCTGCCGCTGCAGGTGTTCTGCGAGGGCTTGGTGTCAGGAGGACTTGAGGGTGGGGATAGCGGGGTTCAGGAGGCGGCGAGGGCTTGGGGTGCTGCGGCCGGTTTCCACTGGTGATGTCTGCGGAGAGGACGTTCTGCAGGGCAAGGTGGTAGAGACGGCGTCAGGAGGGGGCCAGTCCCTCGTCCCCTCACGTTCCACAGTGAATTAAGGCCTCCGGTCACGCTGTCTCAAGGCCGGCTGCTGGCATCACAAATGAGCACGGGGACAGACGTTCTAGTCCGGCTCAGTAGCCTGCTTTCCATACAGGACGTGTAGAGACGTGCGGGGACAGGTTCCAGAGGAGTTGCTAAGCCATGGAAACCAATAAACCCCGAGGGAGCGCTCTTAAAGGAGCGTGCCTTCCTCGACCTGACTTTCCCACCATAGCCGCCCTACTGAGTGACGTGGCTTAGTCGTCACTTTTAAGAACGTGACGTGTGAGGACCTGAAGGCCCCTGCCCTAGAAGTTTAGACACTAGCAACAAACAACTGGCCGGCGACGGCACCTGCCGACGGCCTGTCGCACACGCGCTGTGTGTGGAAGGCTTTGACCTTCCTGCGTCGCGGAGGGCCTCTCCCCGGCCCGCTCCGCCGGGCGCCCCGCAGCGCCGCCGCGCCCGCCCACCCGCGGCGTCACCGTCGCCCTGTGCACCCAGGCTGGCGCAGGCGCGCTCTGTCGGCCCTCTCGGGGTGCCCATTGGCTCGGCAACAGCTCGTCCCTCCCTCCGGAAGTGCGGACGTTGGCGCTCGGGCTTCGCGGCCGCCGGTGAGCTGGGTGGGGGGGCACGCGGGCGGGGACCGGGACGGGGTCGTGTCGCGGCGATCCTGCGACTCTGGGAGGCTCGCCTGGCCGCCACGCAGCCTGCGGAGCCCTCGGTCGGTGTGCGGCCCGCCTGCGCCCTCACGGTACGCTCGCCCCGAGCGCCGGCCCGGCGGTACCTCCCCTCGCCTCGCCTCCCTTCCGTCCGTCTCGGTCGGTCTCCTTGGCCCCTGCCACCGGCCCGGCGTTCGCCCTGGCCCCGCGGGAGGGATGGCGGAGCCGCGGGCCCGCGCTCGGCGACGGCTCTACGCCGTTTCGCTCGCTTTGTCGACTTGCAGCGCGTAATTAATGTCTCTCTGGCCCCCTTCTGGAATTTTCTAACGGTTTCTGTATACGTAAAGTCAAAGAGCTTCTCACAGGATCGTTGTGAGGGTTCGGGGAGAAAACACAAGCAGCTTCGTTTTGGAGAGAGCTAAAAAGTTGTTAGCAAAGGCGTCCGTGCGGTGGTTGAGGGCTTGCAGCCTGTCACGCGTGAACTTACGTAGCACACATCTGGCTCTCTGTGATGGAGGGGTCGCCAGTCACCACCTGAGCCTGGGGCCCGCAGCACCGCCCGCCGGTTGCTTTGAAGAGGTTTGGTTGGTTTTGAAGGCTTTGTAGAAGGAGGTAACATCGTGTTTTTGCCGGAGGGTTGAATGAATTGATAACATCTGTCACCTGCTCGCACCTGCGCAGGTGCGTCTTCTTCAACCTGGGAAGCCGTGATGGGAAAGGGGTGGAAGCAGGCGCCCCCACTGCACGTTCCCGTCTAGCACCTGCTACTCCTTTACTCGCCGATAGTGTTTTTGTGTAATAACTCTTACTTGGGGCGAATAGTATGTTTTCAAGTGTCGAAATAGACTTTTCACATACCTTAAGGTGCATCCCTTCAGTCATTTTTCTACGATGAACTAAATTTTTGTCTCCCCATAACTCAACAGATTTAAGAGCTCAAAGCTGGGACAATGGTGTGCATTCCTTGTATCGTCATTCCCATTCTGCTCTGGATCTACAAAAAATTCTTGGAGCCATACATATACCCGCTGATTTCCCCTTTTGTTAGCCGCATATGGCCCAGAAAGGCTGTGCAAGAATCCAGTGATAACGGGAGAGTGGACTGTAAGGTAAGGACACTCGGACGCTTCGAATAAGGGTGGGTAAATGGAGGGCGCATTTTTTTGGAACCAGAAGCTCCATTCATTTTTCTCAATTTAAGTAGTTAAATTCCACCAACCCTGTGATGAATGCATTGGTTCCTTGCCTTACAGCCAAAGCAAATGAACATTTTTAAGAGTTTACTTAGACAGCTCTGTTGTCTTTGTGTCCATGCCTTGGTCTTGTTCACCTGTGCTACTTGAAGTGCCCCACACATTTCTAGAAGCACAATTTTCTTCATTCCGAACTTTGTTGTCCATTTTTACACAGAATGTCTCTTACAATTAATAATCTTGTTGTGGTAGTAATTCCTAAACCGTATTTTCATTTTAGGGCACAGACACAAATGGATTACCAACGAAAGGACCAACGGAAATCCCTGATAAAAAGAAAGACTGAAGTGACTTTCCCCACGGGATCTCAGTTTCGCACATGGACGTGATAATATGAAGCACCTTCTTCATGACTGTCTCTGACCTTTTTCTCTGAGCCCAGAACTCAGGCTGGCTGGTTTAGGTATCCCCTGTACCAAGCAGGGAATATGTGGTATTTATACTTAAAATGTACTTAGTTATAGTTAATGACCGCATTCCTGAGTTCCTTTTTCATTAATGTAGATTTCCATTCCTATTATTGCACTTTTAATAATATGAATAAATAGAAGGTTTGTGCCAGCAGATACTTAGATGTTGCTAAGTCAGTCCTTAACAGCCCTGACCCTCTCTAGCGTTCATTCATGTGAATGACCGATGTGTGCTCTCATTTCTTTGGGCGCCTCTAGTCTGAGCAGAGTAAATTTTTACTGGGAAACAGTGCGGGGGATAAAGCTGTGAAAGAAAGAAAGAATGACTTTCCAACGCAGTGAAGCAGTCTATCCATGAGAGTAGTGATTGCTCTGTAATGCTCTGAGGAAGACAGAAGAGACAGGGACATAGAGAAAACCTGATTGATGAATGGAACATCTTTTATTTAAGCATCTGATGTATGTTGTAAAATTCCAGTCCTTGCATTCCTTCTATTCCTACAAATGTATTAAATATTCTGTTTAACTTGCGGTTCTTTTTAAGTCTCTTTAAATATTCAAAAAGGAAATTTTCACCTCATTTGAAAGCATCTTAATAGTGATGGGATAGCAGTCAGCTTTTTTTTTTTGAAAGGCAGAAGGAGAGATGGAGAGATCTTCCTTCTGCTGGTTCACTTCCCGAAAGGCCACAATGGCTGGGGCTGGGCCAGGCTGGAGCCAAGAGCCAGGAGCTTCATCTGGGTCTCTCACTTGGGTGCAGGGCCACGAGCACTTGGGCCGTCTTCTGGTGCTTTCCCAGGCGCGTTAGCAGGGAGCTGGATCAGCTCGAACCAGCACCCATATGGGATGCTGGTGCTGAAGTTCCAGTTTAACTCACTGCACCACAACACCAGCCCCAACAGTTAGCTATGTTTACATACAAGACACTCCAGAATTGAGTAGTTTCCAACAGTCACCTGGCTGGACAGTTATTTTCTGATCAGGGCTTGCTTATTGCTAGTGACCTGGCTCTCTATGTGGTCTTTCCACTTGGGCTTCTTCAGTTGTGGGGATCTGTAAACATTCAAAGATGATAAAAATATATATATATATATCCTAACTAAGGCTTTGTTAAGGCATGCCTCTGGTCATTAACCCTGGACCTCACTGAAATAAATCAGTAGATCTCAATTTGTCTGCCCCAGCCCTTCTGAATATGTTATATCCAGGTGATGAGTTTGTTCTCTAAGATGTGAAAATTACTTTATAAAAATTGCAGTAGAAGAGCATATTCAGTGGAAAGCTGGGAGCCCATTTCAGAGTGGCAGTTACAGTCCCAGGTGCTCTGCTTCCAATCCAGCCCTGCTAATGTGCCTGGGAAAGCAGTGGAAGATGGCCCCTGTTACCACATGGGAGACCAGATGGCACTCTAATCTGGCTTCAGCCTGGCCCCGTCCTGGCAGTTGCAGCCATTTGATGGGTGAGCTAGCAGATGGAAGAGCTCTCTGTTACTCTGCCTTTCAAATAAGTTTTTTTCAAATTAAAAGTTAATGTTCTTTCTCTTATTTCTTCATCTTCCATCTCCACAGATGTAACCACTGTTAGTTTTTTGAGTAGTCTTCTAGTAACTTTTAAGAAGTTGTATTGAAATTCTTTATTTGAGAGAGAGTTCCCTTCAGCTGGTTCATTCCCCCAAATGTCTGCAATGGCTAGGGTTGGATTGGGCTGAAGTCGGACTGAGAATACAACGTGGTGTCCCATGTCGATAGCAGGAACCCGGCTGGTCCATCTCTGCCGCCTCCCAGGGTCTGCAGTGGGGAAAGCTGAGTCTGTGTAGGACCCAGGTGCTCCAGTGTGGAATGCAGGCATCTTAACTGGCATCTTAGCAGCTAGGCTAATGCCCACTCATTCGAGCAGCAAGTGTGCTGTTGGTTTAAGGACTCAGATAATATTGCAAGACCTAGGCTGTCTTGACACCATTCTTTCCCAAAGACGACTAATTGAGCTGTTGCTTTTGGTATTTATATTTCCAGCTAACCTGTATGGCAGTTTTTTTGAAAGACCACCTTCAGATGTTACTGACTTCCTGTTCTAGTTGAGATACGGCTGTCTTACACACTCTACCCCACTACATCCTCCTAGTATACGCATCAGTTTTGCCTGAGTCATTCATTACTCAGTGGATCAATTTGAGTTGCCAAGTGTCTTCCACTTGACCCTTCAAGTCTGCCCCGTTTGTCCTGTCCCTACACCCCCAGAAGGCTGTGTGGATCACTTAAACAAACTCCCCAGGCCCTCTGGGTGTAGGGATGAACAGCCGGAAATGGAAGGAGGGAACAGTATCATTCCCTTGGCCACCTCCCTCCCAGATCCCTCAGGCTAACTGTTCCTCAGTGCGAATTGGAGCACCAGAAGGTGACCAGCTCCGTGTGACTCAGTTTCCCCTAACCTTTTCCTGTCCTTGCTCTTTTGGATTTGGGGGTGGTGGCACCTGTGCTACCTGTGGCTCTGGGTTACTGCTGTCTGCTGGGACTCTGCTAACTGTACAGATGGTAGCGGTGTCTTGTGATCGAGTTTCCTTTGACGTACATGGTGGTTTTCCTCCCCAGACATGACCTGGTTGGCGTTGCAGGACTCCGGGCTTTGTGACTCCTGCTGTGTTGGAGCCACATACTCCTCTTTCAAGGTTTACTCATTCTTTCTGTAGCGTGCAGATTCCTAGCTTGGGAGATCGTGTATAGATAATTTTGAAATGTGCTCCCTGGAAGATTCCAAATTGCCGTAGACCTCACAAAACCTGGGTCCGCTGTCCAACATGCAGCAGGCCTGTTAGTGCCACTGGGCTGCATAGGGGCTCTCAGTTTCAAAACCATTAAACCCACCCTCCAGAGAATTTGTGGTCTCCTAAGGCCTTTTCCATTTCTAGCACTTTCCTCTCTCGGACCCAGTCTTTTTTTTTTCTTGCTTGTAAGAAAGCTACTGCCTTCACCAGCAGGAAACGGAAATTGAGAGCAGAGCAAGCACAGGCTCTCCCATAGGGATATGGGCATCCCTAGTGGAGTTTCAACCACGAGGCCAAATGCCCATCTCACTCACTCCATTATCCAGCTCCCTGCCCAGTGCCTTCCACTCGCTCCTAAAACCTTCCATGCCGGCAGTTGATAAGTTTTCCCACCATCTTAATGAACTGTCTCCACGTCACTTTCTATAGCTCTGAGGCTGGGACAAGCCAGGAGCTCCCTGGGGAGGAAGCTTCATCCCTCCCCGCCTTCGATCGTGAGTGAACCCAGGACATTGAGTTTTACAGGGCTCAGGAGGCCTGAAGCTCTGTGGCTAAGCCTTTCTGGCCTGGTCAGTCTAATAGGTCAGCATGCGGGTGACAGTCATGTTAAGGAAGTGCTGACACCTACGTCTTCTGGAGGGCAGCTCAGGATGGAAATGTGACAGGACTCCAGAGTTTTTCAGGTGAGCCCTGAGAAGATGAGCCTGACTCAAACAGGAATGCAATTAAAATTAACTAAGGCAAAAAATAAGCTATCGGGAACTGGGTAAATTGAAGTCAGGCAGCAGGGCGAACAAGATTACAACGTTAAAGCAGGTTCACAAATACTGAGTAGCACAAGCTAAGGGCTTCTGGCTTCACCCTGGCCCAGCCCCGGCTTTTGTAGGCAGGTGGGCAGTGAATGGGAAGTCTCTGTCTCCATCCCTCTCTGTCATTCTAAGTAGTACAAAAAGACCGGGAATCAGGAGTGGCATTTGACCTAGCAGTTGGAATGCCCATTTCCCATAGTGGAGCCAATACCTGCCTCCAGGTTGTAATCCAGCAGACCCTGGCAGGAAGCAGCAACACTTTAAGTGATTGGGTTCTTGTTACCCACATGGGACACTTGGATTGAGTTCCCAGTTCTCAGCTTTGAGCTCGACACAGCCCTAGACTTTGTGGGTGTTTGGGAAGTGAACCAGCCAACAGGAGCTCTCTCGCTCTCCCCTGCCCCGCCCCACTCACTACCCTGCTTAAACAGTTTTTTTTTTTTTTAATATTTATTTATTTACTTGAGAGGCAGAGAGCTTCCATCTACTGGTTCACTCCCAAATGGCCACAATGGCTGGGGCTGGGCTGATCTGAAGCCAGAAGCCAGTGGCTTCATCCAGGTCTCCCAGAAAGGTGCAGGGGCCCAAGCACTTGGACCATCTTCCACTGCTTTCCCAGGCCATCAGCAGGGAGCTGGATTGGAAGTGGAGCAGCCGGAACTCAAACCGGCACCCATATGGGATATCAGCCCCCAGGCATATGTTTAACCTATGCCACAGTGCGGGCCCCAACCAATTTTTTTTTTTTTCCTTTGGTAAAGATTCATTTGTTTATTTGAAAGATGTTTCAGAAAGGAAGAGATAGATCTGTCCGCTGGTTCATTTCCGAAATGGCTGCAATGGCCGGAGCTGAGCCAGTCCGAAGCCAGGAGCTTCATCTGGGTCTTCTTTGTGAATGCAGAGGCCCAAGCACTTAAGCCATCTTCTGCTGCTTTCCCAGGCAGGAAAGTTGGATTGGAAGTGGAGCAGCTGAGTCTCGAACCGATGCCCATATGGGATGCTGGCATTGCAAGTGGTGGCTGTATCAGCTGCACCACAACACCAGTCCCTTAAACACTTTTTTAAAAACCTGTAAGTTTAGGGACTGGTGCTGTGGTATAGCAGGTAAAGCCACCACCTGCAGTGCTGGCATCCCATATGGGAACCGTTTTGAGTCCTGGCTGTTCCACTTCTGATCCAGCTCTCTGCTATGGCTTGGGAAAGCAATAGAAATAGTCCTTGGGCCCCTGCACCCATGTGGGAGACCTTGATGAAGCTCCTGGCTTCGGATTGGCTCAGCTCTGGCCATTGCAGCCACTTCAGGAATGAACCAGAGAATGGAAGACCTCTCTTTTTGCCTTTGCCTATCTGTTACTCTGCCTTTCAAATAAGTAAATCTTAAAAAAAAAAAAAAAAAAAAAAACCTGTAAGTTTAAACTGAAAGTATATGTGAGTCTGAGTGGTCTTAATGCTATGACCAAAGATGGCAGACCTGTACAGTGCTGTGTCACCCTGAGAGATGTAAGGCTTAGCCATAGCCATTCATAGTTACGACCCAATCCATGACTAGTGATGTGGGGAGGTAATATAACTGTCTCAAAGTTAAAAAAAATTGAAAGTGTAAAGAAATTTGAACATTTGTCAGTTGAGAAGGTAAGAACTATGCGATGAAGTGTGGGTGGAGTACCGTAAACTCAGATGTTGGGCTGGTCTACACTTTGGTCTCAACTGACCCAGTCCTCTCTCTTCCACTGAGGGCCAAGACGTTTCAGAGTAGGCTCCCAGATGCTGCAACAGGGCAAGAGTGGCGTCTCCTGCAGTGCTGCTGTTCTGCTGCTCACAGTTGGCCGAGTGCACAGCCCAGTTTCTGAAGGCACCCGTCACTCTAACAGTGTGATGCTCTGTAGGTCTATCCATCGCACACCCGTACAACTGCCCCCTGGCGTCTTGTTCTTCCATGGTAGTTAAGCTGCTGATGGTTT